CATGGCTTTACTTCCTATATTTTGTCTTCATACTTTTCTACTGGATGGTTAAGACCAAGGTAAAGCAGGACCTGTGCAACAAGAGTTGTAGCTTTTGGGTCTGAGAAGTTCAGTGAAATCCCCTCAGGATTTATCCTGAGATTATCCCAGGACAATATTGCATTTGTATATTTAACCACTTTCCAGTCCCATTATTTAAATACAGAATGACCCAAAATTGCATATTTGTTTTCATTAATTTTTATAACATATAACAATATATAGTAGGAAATATAAAAATGACAATTTTATCAAATTTATTCAGTAATTTTTTGTGTATGGTATATTCTAAAACATTCATTATACAATGCACCATTACAATCTGGACAGTAGTATCTAGTCTTTCTAAATTCTTTATTCATTATTATCTTTCTCTGAACAGCATACTTCACGCTGTTATATTGGCCTTTTCTTTTCTTTTTTTTCTGGAACCGGGGTTTGAACTCAGGCCCTTGTGCTTGCCAGGGAAGCGCTTATTTCACTGAGCCATCTCCCCGGCCCCAGCCTTTTATTTTCTGAGTGGTATAATTTCAATAAAATCTCTACCCACTAAATGTAATGATGTAATGGTGTAAATGTAAGGTAATGGATATCCTGGTTGGCATTTCTCTATGCTATAGTTTTCAATTATTTGCTCTATTAGACCTAATCTAGGTTGTAAATGACTTTTTGAACTTCACTGTTTTCTCTCTCTCTTTTTTTTTTTTTGAACTCCATTGTTTTGAGTAAGTCACAAATCAGATTCATATTGTTTGGTGCAGAAAGTGTGTAAATATTTTATAATATATGTTCCTTGCTTTTTGATTACAGGATAGCTTATTAGATATTGGTCAGCTCTGTCAACACCACTCATAGAAGTACTATAATCATTGACCACTATTGGACTGGTTTTAGTTCCATTTCTTCTTGTAAATTTTATCATCTCTGTAATAGGAATAGTTGACAAAAAGGACCTTTTTGTCTTTTACTTCATAGCACAGACTTCTCCTTCTCCTCCCTGATATGCTCATATCTCTCCCTTTTTTTTTTTTTTCCCTCCTGCATATCTTTGACCCTTCTTTCCGTCCTTCCCTCCTTCATATCCAGTCTCAGGGCCTCATGTGTCTTTTTTTTTTTTTTCCCTTCGGTACTGGGGATCAGACTCGACCTTGCGCTTGCCAGGCAGGCACTTATGCCACTGAGCTGTATCCCCAGCCCTAAACTTCATTTTTCTTTTCTTTTCTTTTCTTTTCTTTTCTTTTCTTTTCTTTTCTTTCTTTTTTTGGCAGAACCGGGGATTGAATTCAGGCCCTCGTGCTTGCCGGGCAAGCACTTATTCTACTGAGCTATCTCCCCAGCCCCTGTCCATTTGTATTGTAACAGAATATCACTGAGTGCTGGAGAAGTATAAAAATTATACTAATGTACTTACAGTAAGAGCTTCATAGCTTATATCACAAAATTAAAGATTATTTTTCACAAGTCAACATGAATTAGTAAAAGAAAATAACCAGAACTTATCAGATTTCACTAGAGACAAGTATCAATACAGTATTTTAAATAAAAAATATGCACAAATGGTTGATGGAAAACAAGTAAGCAGAGGTACGAGTTTGTCTTACGTAGAGTGGACTGGTTGCAGTGGCACCAGCTGAGCAACGCTGGGTGTAGTCAGTCCCTAAACACATGTACTCATGGGCACTGCCTGAGTGGCCCTCAGGAGAAGCTGGTGAGTGGCTGAAAGGATTGCAGGGTAGGTCTTTCTAGGGAGATCAGATTCTCTTGTATCCTAAGTCTCCATTTTCATTGTATCATTTCGCTTAGAGTGAACACACTTGTTTTACGTCAGGTTAATACTGGTGTACCTTAATTCTCATAGTCTCTAAGGAGGCTTCACGGCTACCCACTTGAGTGTACTCACAGTTACAGCTAGAGCTGTGGCTCAGGGAACTGTTTCCATGGGCAGAGTTTATCAAAATGTGAATCTATAATGAGGACCACTTGGCCTCCCAGAGACCCTGTTCTCAGCCCCATCTACACCTGCGGAAGACGTAGATGTCGTGTTCTACTAGGGCCACGGCCAGGCCCTTCAGAAAGTTCTGCTGTTGGAAAAACACCACGATGCCCCACCCCACCACACCCATTCCTCATGGGTACACTGTAGTGTGCAAGATAAAACATCCTTTATTTCATGTGTAGTCTCAAAAATATTGCCATTAATGTTTTCGATGCTGTCCTTAATGTTTAGACATCCATAAAGAAATACGTACCACTTTTTCATTTCTTTTTGTCCTTTCTTTTGAAGATATTGTCCATTAATTCAAAATTTCAGTTCCTCAGTTACTGAGTTTCAGTAGTGATATTTGCAATTTGCTGCTCTTCTCTGTCTATCTTTGCTACCTTTGTTGAATGCTAACCAATGCAGACATGGCTCCCAGGTGTTTGGTGGTCCTCCAAGAGCTTTCTAGATTAGATTCTAAAGTGGTTACAGAAATTTGGTCCCAAAGAAGATGACATAGTTGTTAGGAGTCTCCTTCCTTATCATTAAGATCTCTCTTTAAGATCTGTGCAATAATGCCTTGGTTCACAAATGCTTCTGTTTGTGAACAATTTGGTTTGCAAACAGAAAGGCTCAGTGAAATTTTGCTTCTACTCTCAAACTCCTCATTGGATGACAAATACGACTGCAGACAGGAACATGGATATGGCCTTCTTCCCTAGCATTGCAGAAGGAGTAAAGTTTGTGAACCAAGGTTATCACCATATATCTAACAGCAAGTAGTTAGTTGGAGAATAAGGGAGCAGGCCATCTGCCCCAGAGACGCCCATGGCCTCTGCCTTCAGCCAGACTTACAACTAAAGTTTGACTTGAGACTTCTTCCAGGGAAAAGCCGTATCACCCTCCATGATGTGTGCCTGCCCCGGAGCACAGCCTGTCCCCACAGTGATTCATGGGACGTGGTTGGCTCCAGGGCCTGCTGGTGGCCAAGACCAGAGGTGAGATGTGATGTTTCTCTGAAACACTTTGTCCCAAAGGAGATAACTGAACTGTTTCTCAAGGGAACACAAATGAATCTTGGCATTGCAGTTTGGAAGGAATTTATAGTATGAGTCTTCATTTAAAGGCCACCCAGAGATGCAATGTTATTTCTAAAAATAAATGGTGTGTTTCTGAGAGTTAAGAGTTGGAGATGAGCTATCTCACCATTGTTCACACTTTGTCATCTCTTAACTTGATAAGAGCTGCTGTTTTATTGTGTTCAACTAAAGTATACTTTTTTCCCACATTTAAGATTAAGGTGTTGTCTAGAAAATAAAAGTCTGTTTAGATGATTATAAAAACTAGATTTGGCTTTCCAAAAATGCCATTTCAGTTGAAAGTCTAGTTCATTCACTGGAGAAGATGCATGTACAGTACATCTAATTCCTATTAAGTTGTACTAAGTAGGGCTGTGGAGTAGTTCAGGGATAGAAAATATGCAGGGTATATGGAAGACCCTGGGTTCAGTCCAAAGCACTGATAATAGGACTAAATAGTTTTTCCTTAGAGTCATTGAGTTATCCAGAAACTTACCTATTACTGTAGCCAGTTCCCTCCTGTACTGTGATCAGGGTCCTTATTATTACTTATTTTTTAAATGTATTTGGTACAGGGTCTCATTACGCAGCTTGGACTCATGATCCTTCCGTTTTCAGCCTCCCTAGCTCTGGGATTATGGGCGAGCACCACCACTTCCGGACTCGGTAGACAGCTCAGCGTGCCTGGGGGTGGGGCTGGTGTGGCATGTGGTGCTGAGGATTGAACCCAAGTCCCTGCGCTTGCCTAAGCAGGCGCTTAGTCTGCTGAGCTATCTTATCTTGCCAGGGTCCTTGTTTTGGGGCAAAAAAAAAAAAAAAAAAAAAGGAAGAAAAGATTGAAGCCAACAAAACAGCACACAGCAAGTGGTGTGCTTATGTTTATAGAAAGCATAAAAGGAAAAGCTCCATATGTGCCAGGAAGGAGTTCATTAAAGTGCATGCTGTAGATGTTTAAGTGCACTGGGCTTTTAGACAGCTTTCGGTAAGGATGAACTTGACAGAAAGCAGGGAAGGTCCTGGCTGCAGGCAGGCCTCTGGTGTCTGGAAAGCAGGCTTCTGCCTTTGCAGTTCACTTCCTCAGGGCTTCTCCTCTCTGCCTCGGGTCCTTGCAGTCTCTGTACCCTGCATTCCATTAGGCCCTGATGGTGTGCTTGAGTTACTTAATGGCCCTGTGGTATGTTACCTCACATAGGACTCTTGGTTTACTTCAGGACCTGTAGCCGCTCTGCCTACCCTCTTCTGTCTTCTGGCTCTATTACAAGTGTGGTGTATAAAGGTAAATGGCAGGGTGACTCCTGTGTTGCAGACAGCCATTTTCATATATTTACAGTGAAAATCAGTCTCTGATCTCCCCTCCTACCACAAAATAGCAGTTATCAGTGAGAAACCCATCTAGTAAAGAAACCTCTTGCCTTTCTGAGTTATGGTACAAAAACCTGGTACAGTTCTCAAGTTATATGTGGTGAAAGACTGATTTTTTTTTCTCTCCAGTCTTCCACAGGCTGATTCTTTTGTAAAATACAAAACATACAAGAAAAGTGATTCTGTGCATGAGTTTCAGGTAATGATAATTACTACCAAGGTTTCCTAGTTTTGCAGTGGCTGTGACCTGTCCTAATGTGGACCCCACATCATGTAATGGGCTGTGTAGCCTACTGTACCTGCAACTAGAAATATGTACAATTCTATTTATGGTTGGATTAGAACTAGTTGGTTACAGGTCCCCATTGAAGACATTTTCTTTCTCCTTCGATATTTCCCAGTCAACTGATCTATTAGAAGAATAGCCCAGGAGATGAGAAAAGACCTTTTATCAAACAAGAATAACCCCAAGACATGATGCTGTTCCCCCACATAACCCTGTGTCACCGAGGTTGATCCAAGGAGCTGAAAACTGTAAATGACGCAAACACAGTGCACATGTAGACAGCAATATTTTTGTGGCCTAAGTGGTATAATACAAAGAGGCAGAGCGGATGCCTGGCGCAGTGTTTGCATGGGGGAAGGATCTTTGGGTGACAAGTGGAAGGACAGGGGTGAATGAAGGGCAGGATGGATGGATGGGTAGGTGGAAGGTAGGAGGGGAGGGGCCATGGGTGGATAGGTGGCCCGTCCTTGGAAATGCCAGCAGTTGTTCCTCTGCGAGGCTGCTGGGGTGGATGAGTTCTTGTGGCTGCTCCCTGCTAGGGCCTCTTTCTCATCACATACTGCCCACCTCATTTCCAGGTTGTGTGGGTCAGCCCTGCAGCGAGGGCAGGACCTATTCCAATGCCATTATATCCGCGGACCTGGAGACCATCAGAATCATGCCTGTGCCTCAGACCTTCTCGGCAGAGGACTGCACGGCTGCCTGCTGTGACCTGCCCACCTGTGACCTGGCCTGGTGGTTCGAGGGACACTGCCACCTGGTGAGCTGCCTGCAGAAGGAGAGCTGTGTGCCCAAGAGGACGGGGCCCATCCATTCCTATCTCACTTTTGTGCTGCGGTCCTCACCCCAGAGGCCCACACAGCTGCTGGACTACGAGGAGAGGATGCTGAGCAAGGGTGTGCCATTGGGGGCCTGGGCAGACCCCCCTGGAGACCCTCACAAAGATCTGCCCTTTCTAGGCAGAGGTGGGGGCCTGGAGGGGCCTGCGGACTACATCGATGGTGACTATGGGGCACTGGAGCCGGGCCTCCTCCCACCCGCTAGCCCGTCCAGTCTTGGCAGGGATGCCCAGGACTCTGGCTGGGGTGCCAGTGATGCAAATGCCTCCTTAGGGGATGGCATCTCAGCCTTGGTGTCTGGGGAGGGCCACCCAGCATCCACAGAGGATAGTCCTTTGGCCTTAGTATCTGTGGGAGACCTAGCATCCACAGGGGATGACCTCATGTTTGTGGGGGACAGTCCCTCAGCCCTAGAATCTGTGGGGGACAACCTGGGACCACCTGGGGACAGTCCCAAGGCACCCATGTCCCCAGCAGATGGTCTGGTGGCCTCAGCATCCACACACAAGAAAACACAGGACCTGGAGCTCAACCCACATGCCCTGCAGCGCCCCACACTGGGCGAGGCTACACAGCCTACCACCTCCGCAACCTCTCCATCCCCCTCTTCGGCTGCTCTGTCCCCATCCCTGGGACAGGCCACAGAGAAAAACGATGCTGCTCAGCCCCAGGCACCTTCCCGAGGCAGCCCTGCGGGACAGGTGAGTGTCCCCAGCTTCCTGATACGTGGCCTACCCATAGTGCCTGAAAGGTGACTCCTCCCTCCCCAGCATAGACAGCTCTGAGTGAAGAGTTTCTCCCAACCCCAGAGAAGGTAGATATGGCCTGAGGGAGTCCCAGAGCCAGCTCAGATACTCAGGGCCTTGGACATTGACCAAAACAGAGGCTTCAGGTGACTGGAAGCTCAGTCCTGGCTAGTTAGGAGGAGTGAGAGCCTAAGGGAAGAACATAAGCTTTATAAAGCTTGGATGGAAAGAAAATGGGAGGTTAGCTCTATGCTGTACACCTCCAGCCCCAGCAGCTCCAAGGCTGAGGCAGGAGGACGGCTTGAGTCTGGGAGAGAGTTCAAGGCCAGCCTGGGCCATGGCAAAACCTTGCCTCAGAAATGGGGAGAGACCTGGGGATATCCTTCAATGGTGAAGCATCTTAGCGAGTGGAGGAGCACCGAGCAGATGCACCCATCAAAGCTCCCTGCATAGCTCTCAGGTCCCAGAGCTCCATGAAGCCCATCAGCATACAGCTGCAGCCAACCTACCCTTTTGGTCAGTTGATTTCTTTAGTTTGATCAGTGGGCCTCAAAGAGAAAGCTTCATCTTTTCTTCATATCTTGGTTCCAGAAATTTAGTTGTAGAAGGTTTTGTCAGCTGCCTGACAACTCCCTGCAGCCCCAAGGGTGTGCAGTTCAAGTTAACAGTGGTATCAGTGTCCAGTTGCAGGAAACGTGCCCTGTCTCAACCACAGAGAACAGGAGGAGTCGTGTTTCCCATAGACACCAGTGGCACTCTCCAGTTAACATTGCGGCTTTGCTTTCTGTGGGTTCTTGCTTTGTGTGTCCTTTGTGGGCTCCCACATTCTTAGTCTCTCAAGAGTTTCCCTGCCTGGTCCAGCCCAGTCACTGGCTACTGATGCTTGGGAGAGTATTTTATTAACATATTATACAACTTTCCTTCCAGCACATAGTGATTAACTTAAAAACTTTAACTTGATTCACTTTAAATTGTGCCTCATAGCCTAGAAGTCTGTGATCAGGGTGCTACAGGCCAGGTTCTGGGGTGAGTGCCAGCTTCTTTGTTCAATAGGAAGTCATCATGCTGTTGTGTCCTTTTATTTATTTGTTTATTTTAAAATTTTATCTGTTTGGTACAGGATTTCACTCTGCAGCGCAGACTCATAATGATCCTCCTGTTTTTATCTCTCCACTACTGGCATTACAAGCGTGGTGGACTTGGTTGCTGTTTCAGTGCGCCCCGGGGTGGGACCTGCATGGCATGTGGGACTGGAGATCAAACCCGGGTCCCTGTGCTTGTCAAAGCAGGCACTTAATCTGCTGAGCTATCTCGTTGGCCTTAGTACTTTTTTAGAAATCTTTTTAGAGATTTTCAACATAATTTTTCAGCTTTTCTGTCTATATTTCCTTTTCTTATTTCAAGCATGTCTCCATATCTGTATCTATGTATGCATCTTCATTTTTATTGCCTTTTCCAATTTGTGTTTTCTTTCTTCTTAAGTTATAAATGCATCTAATTGATATTTCCAAAGAACCAACTTTTTGTTTTCTGGAAAACATTTTTCTAATCATCATTTATCTCTTTATTATTTATTCATTTTCTTTTGAGTAGTGGTATTTTTGATTCTTTTACAACAATATTTAATGTTATTACTTTTAACTTCTTTTACTTTCTAGTAACTTCATTTAAAGCTATACTTTTTTGTCTTTATTCACAGATTACATGTTCAGATTTGCAATTCTTATTGCGTTGAATTTGATTTTCTTTTTATCTAAGAATTGCTTGTATTTGTTTGGTGTTTAGTTTGAAAACTTATAAGTGATTGAATTTATTAACTTTTAATTTTATTGCATTGTGACCAGAAAAAAACTGCGGCTCCTATGACTTCTAATTTCTATTTGGGAGGAATATATTTGCATTTGTTTTAAGAATCATAGTTTCATAAATGTTTCTTTGACTTTTAAAGAGCAAGTGGAGAAGTGGAAAAGATGGAAAAAACTGTAGCTGGGGATTCTGGGAAGGTGCTGTCAAGCAAGCAGCTGAGGTGCAGCCTGGAGACACATTTGGGAGTCATTTGCTCAATGATAGTATTTGAAACTACAAAACTAGAAAGTAGTTGTATGTCTATCCTAACTATTGCATGCAACTACTTTCTCTTAATTCAATGAGAAGAAATATTTGTACTAATAGTATTTTTTTTCAATAATTTTATTGAGAAACAAAAGCAAAGAGACAGTTACAAAACTAATTAGTAGGACAATTTCAATATTTAATAATTGCATATTACTGAAGATAGCAATGTGTAATAGTAGGGTCATTCTTGGAATGCCTGTCATTCTGGTCTTCTAAATACGTACTGCTTGTCGTGACATACCAATTAGTGCCACACTGTCTCTCAAGTAAATGTTTATTTTTTTAAAAAAGGTAATAAATGAAAAAAGAGACAAGAAAAAAGTCACAAAACTGTCCTGCTACAATGTTGTATATGGTTAGATTTCTAAATTTCTGTGTAAAAATACATAATTGTTTATTCATATTTA